TTGGGTAGACGTGAACACATTGGAGATTTTTCGGGTGGATGATGATACGGCTAATTTGACAGAGCAGCAGATATTGTCACAGGGCTTAGTGTTGTCACTTGGCATGGTCGAGGGGCTTATTTGGGGAAACGACATAGATACTGAATCCCTTGACATCTCGCGCGCGCTTCTTCAAGCTCTTAGGTATGAAGACTTGGAACGGTTGTCACGACAGCTAGGTTTCGCACAAAAGGCTCTTCGATCGGTTTGTGTGGTTCCGCCGGAAAACGCGTGGTCGCATTTCAGACGAATGTCGGACGCTCCCGACTCCTTGAAAATTCCGGGTGCCTCAAGGGCGCATTGGTGTCTAAAGGCTCTCAAAGCGACATATGGCTTCTCAGATGCTCCACTCATGTTTCAACTTGCATTGTTGCAATACCTTGAAGAGGAGTGTGGAGCATACAAGTCGTTGTTTGACTCAAACTTTTTGTATTGGGTTGAATATGTTGACGACAAGTGGCAGTTGACATTGTTGCTTACAGCTCACATTGATGATTTGCAGGTCACAGGGTGTTTGGGCAAAGCGTACTTGGTTGCATGGCATGTTAGAGAAACGTTTTGGACCTCTGAAGCGACAGCGCATGCCGTATACCCACACGGGTATAGAACTTGAACGTTTGCCTTCCGGAACACTTCGGTTACACCAGGATTCATTTTTGCAGTAAGTTGATCCTTGCAGACATTGGTGTCTGCGTACTGTTGGCAGAAGACCGTGCACATCCCTTGCAAGTTGACAAGCATGACTTTGTTGTTGACGGCACTTCAGGTACGCACGGTGGTCGTATGCATTTGTTGATATGCACTTCAACCAAATCCAAGAGGATCAGCCACAGCACGTCGCATGCAGAGACACACGCTTGCGCACGTGCTGTTCCAAATGCTCAATTGGTCTCAATGAGGATCTGTGAGCCAGACTTGATGAATTATGTGTGGCCTGATCGATTGACTCCCATGGCATTGCTCCACATTCCGGATTCCTTGCGTCCTTGGCTTGCTACAAACGCGTATGTTGATCGCATGGACTTGTTTGACCTTGCAACAGGACAGAAAGGGGTTCCGGTTGACAAGTTGCAACGACTTGGCGTGCTGGCAATTCGCGAAGAGCGAAGGCCGGGACGCTTGAGAAGGCTTGGTCATTTGACCACGCACTATATGTTAGCAGATGTGTTGACAAAAGCACACAGGCTACGTTTCCAAGTCACTACACCAGATGTTGACTTCAGGTCATTGGACCATTCAAGGTCCTGTCCGTGTTCGTTCTGAATTCGGCGTGGTTGGTTGAGCAGTTGCATACAGTTCAAGCAAGAAGAAGAGTACGAAAGTTGGAATACAAACAGACAGTTGCTTGAACATGTTCTTCGAGGGATTTCGCATAACTTCAGTCTCACCTTTGAATTGGCTCAAGTCACAGCAAAAGTCCGATGCGTTGCATTTCGATTCGACACGCACAAATCGAGAAGTGTATTCACCCTCATAGATACATAGAGAAGTATCCCTACCTCCTTTGTTTTTGGTTCGCTACCGAACTCCCTCACCCCCTCCCTCACCCCGCACCCCGCCGGCAAGGTCTCGGCGGTGGGAGCCGTCTCTGTCATCTGCGTTGTCGGAGTCTCCGTCTCCGTGGGCGCCGGCTCCGGTGGCGCCGTCGCCACGGGCGGCGGGCTCGAGCTCTCTGCCCCAGGCTCCTTCTTGTCACCTGGTGGGATGGAGGGGATGGGAAGCTGAGGAGGGATGAACCCAGGAGTGAGGAAACATCGTTTAAAGAACAAGGTCCTCAAAACCAAACGGTCAAAAGAAGCAGTTGAAGGGTGCCGTCTTCCCAAACAGACAGACGGTTTTTCCAGTTGGACCCATCGCCAAGCACATGCAGCACAAATCGGACCACTCTTTGGGCTGCGGTTGTTCAACTTCCCGGTCGCGAACTCTTCGGCCTCCGCTGGCGAACTCTTTGGATCCTGCCGGCGTCGACACGGACCTGACCCGAGGATCTGTGTTCCTTGCATCCGAAAAAGGGTGGTCCTGGTGGTGGTCCTGGTAGTTCCTAAGGAACTGGTGCTTCTGGGAGTTCGAAAAAATAAACTCTCAAAAGAAGGAAAAAGGCAGGCGAGAACCTGTCACGCGACCCAGGCGTCTCGTGACCAGGCGGACCGCGAACCGCCTGTAGCGTGGTAGACATCCGATGGCCCGGAAGCAAAACAAGTTGTAGATATTCTGAAACCCAGGAGGGGGGGAGGTGCAGCATTGTGCCAGGTTCCGGTCATCCTTGAGGGAAATTGGTAGCTAGGGGAAGCCACCACGTGGGGGATAGCTCTTTTTCACCACCAAAAAAGGGTGGTCCTCAACCCAGGACAAAAAGATTGAACAGACTCCGCCTGGCAGCTGCATCAACACAGGCCTTGAGAAAGGCAACCCTCATCTCCGGTCATTCTATCCGTGAACGACTGAGCTCACGTCGTTTTCACGACGGCTCACGTCCTGAGCTGCATCCTCGGATCTTGCAAGACCTGCAGCAGATCAGGACGTCGCCATGAGTTGATTCGGTGCGCATTTACTATGTTCTATCCTTTGCGTGGTTGGGTGGTTCAGTTGGTTTGACGAAGCTCTGACTTGAGATATATGATGTTATTTGTTCCAGCAGGTTCGACATGTGATCAAATAATCACAAGTGCCAGTGTGTTGCTGTTCGGGCATGTGCTGCTCACGCCATCTTGCACCAGCAACTGAAGAAATGACAAACGACAAACACAGAAGCTCCAATTACTTGGAAGAAAGTACGATCTTGCAAGGTGGCCAAAAGCTGCAGACGACTAAAGGAACAGCTGTCCGTTCAGCAGGTGACTTTCATCAGAAAACATCCCATCAGCCAGACACGCATACCAGCTCCACAAATGGCCACGCTTCCCCGCTTCCCGCTGTATCAAGCTGAAGGCTGACAGCACAAGGCCAGAAGCATAACCAGCAGACGCAAGGTGTATGGTGTATGATGCTGTATTGTGATTCTGCATAATCCTGCAATATCTCTAAGTTGTTCTTCTTCGTACTTGGCACATGACAATCATCGGTCATTATTTGGTCATGACTCAGGACATCTTCTTAGCAGGAACAAGTATAGCCAATCCAAAAAAGAATACAAAAAACAATGGTTTGTGAGGCCCACATGAAGAGTCTTCTCTTGAAGCCCTTTTCGGCAGCTTCACGAAAGCCCCCCCCACAGGACCGGTCGAGACCGTCGAGGTCGCGGCAACTTGAGATCCCGATCCATGATGGTCACTCGACCTCACATCGTCGAGTCCAGCCAGCGGCTTCGAGGCTTGAGTGGAGTTGAGTGCTGTAGTGCTAGGTTGTGGTCATGTCTGTGCCGAAGTCAGCAGGCCTTGCCTAGATAGGCAGCATAGACTGCACTTTGATTCTGCTCACTTGCAACTACAATATTGCAAGGATCGAAATTCCATTTACTCGGCCCTAAACCCTAAACCAGTGCAAAACACACTCGTGTGTGCTTGTGCGCATGTGTGTGTGTGTGTGTGGATCTGAAACATCTCGGGAGGATCCATCAATCACGCTAAGCACCGGACGCCCGTGCAAGCAGAACTGGTAGGTGTCGCCAAACAAGCCACAGAGGAATGACTGGCGCGAGGGTTGGGTCCTGGGTTTATGTCTACCAATGTCAGATATATATATATATGTGATATACATGACCAAACCTCAAATTCTTTTTTGGTTCCTTGAGTGTATGGCTGCCATGGGGAACACCAAGCTAGGTAGATCTGCAATTCCTCTACTCTACGTGGCTATGTCTCTACCTCTACACTGGGTATATCTATCTCCACATATCCTTCGGGTAGTTCTACAGCGACTTCAGAAGAGTCGGATCCAGACGTCATGGAAGCATGTCAAATGAGGATCCCCAAGCATGTGACTCCTCCAAATCAGTGGAACATGGAGCAGAAATGTACCCCAGTGCCTCCCCAGTGGTTGGAAAATGGACCCAGAATCTCCAAATCACATTTGGAAAATAGAGGGATCACCTGGAACATGGACCTGGGTAGTGAGATCCCCCCTGAACACTTCCGATCATCCTGGACAAAAGACGTGGAGATACATCCAGGATTTGACGGGTTTTGACCTGGGTCGAAAACCGCTTGGGCAGCTGTGGTCTGACCAAGTCTTTCCAAAATCTTCTGTATCTGTCTCCGTGTATCCTCCCAACGAAACCACGGAGAGCACTCGACTCGACTGGAGCGCAAGCGCGGAAGGGTGGGTTTGGGATTTGCCAAACACAGAGCAATCTGATTCCTGCACAGGGACATCTTGCAGGTCACACATGTCCGCCCTTGCCACGTCTTGCGCACGCGGGGCAACGTTTCTCGCGACACGCCTCGGTTTGGTGTTGGAAGGAGCGTTTTGGTCGTCAAATACAAGGCATCGGTCGATTTCAGGAGAAGAAGCGCCAAAGCTGCCTGAAAATCCTGGCCAAATCTTAGGTTCAGGGGACCTATGGGCCGGCCTAATTAGTTCCACTTGCACCATGCTTCCACTTGTGTTCACTTTAAACCAGTCCAGAACCCAAGAACCCCAGCCCATCTCAGCCCATCTCCATTGCATCTCACCTCAGCGGCTTCCTGCAGCGCCATCAAGGCCTGTGCCTCCATGCGGTAGCCACCTCAGACAGGCTGCGCTTCGCTTTTGGGCGCTTCACAGCGAAGAACGGGAGGGGCGTGTGCCGGTCAGGTTGGATACAGAGAGATGTCTGGAGCCAGCCACAGCACAGCTGCTACATACCACCGGTATCTGTTCCGATCAGATCACCAAGGCAAACAGGCAGCGTGCACGACCCGTTCAAAGACCAAGCTTTAAAGAGCACCTCACATGGAGTCAATCCCTGGGTTGAGTCAATAAGTGACCCTCAAACCCGCAAAGGACGTACATGATGATGGCTATCCAAGCTCTGTTGGCAAGTATCTTTTCTCCGACCGCCCTCGTTCTTTGATCCAAAAATGGACTCATTCAACGGACTTAGAAAGCCGGTCGGGACATCGCAACGGCTTCACCACTCGCGGCGGACATTACTCGGAGACAGCAAGATAGTCTGACCCAGGCCTTTCAGAGGCCTCCAAAGCCCAGGGGGGAGGCGATCGTGCGAAGCAAGAGAAGACCAGCCCAGACACCAGACAGGCAAGAGCCTGACATTGGATCAGGCCAAATGCACCTGAAAAGATCAAAGACTGTGTCGCCATCATTGAGTAGAGACATGGAATGACGCTCTTGGCACAAATTTCGCATGCAGCGGCCATGCCCGCGCAATCTTTCAAGGGTTCAAAAAATAGGACATTCACGGAAACCAGCGCCATTACGCCAACACTCGCCTGTAGAAAGGATCCAAGCAAGTATGCCCACATGAACTGAGAGAAGAATAACCCAAGAATTGAGAAGATGAGGCCAGTGGATGCATATATCCAAACTGCAGTCTTGGCAGCCTCAAGAAGGTTCCCAGAGAGAATTCGCTTCATCACCAATAAGCCAAGTCCGTTCAGCGCTCCGAAGGTCAACATAATCATCGAAGTGGTCATGGTCGAGTCTCGGAAGACGACCTGCACCAGGTAGCTCACATTGGCATTGAAAGTCAGATAGGCCGCCATCATGCAACTCTCACTCAGCAAGAGCCAAAGAAGCTCTGGCTGGAAAATCTTCAACACATCCTTCAGACTGGTGTCACTTTGCTGATCGGGGCAGCTTTCCACCATGGTACCACACGCATAAATCCCCAGAAGAGCCCAGGTCAGCGCTAAAGCCCAGAAGGGCACCCGCCAGCTGGAGAATTCGGACACAAAGCCTCCCACCACGGGTGCCACCAACATGCCACCAATGGACATCACATTTAAAGCTGCCACCATCCTAAAGCGTTGCTCCGGGTCGGTGAAGTAGTCTCGCGCCATGGCGAAGATCACCGGCTCCGCAGATTCGCCCATGCCCTGCAGGATGCGAGCGGCCACGAACCACTCCACGCGCTGGGCAGATCCGCAGCAGAAGCTGGCCAAGCTCAGCACAAAGATGCACACCAGCAACGTGGGCCTCCGTCCGATGCGATCGGACAGGCCTGCCGTGAAGACGCCCGAGAAGGCTTTCACCACGAAATTCATCTGCACGGTGAAGCTCATGAGTCCTTGCGATCCGTTGAGATCCAGGCCCATCTCCGGAAGGTTTGGCACATATTGGTCGGTGGTGAAGTAGGTCAGGGTGTAGACCGCTCCCATGAAGACCACCCAGCTCCACTGAACGCCCTCCTTCACACTGGGATGTTGGGGTGCTCGGGCTGGGAGGCCACGCAGCAAGCACACACAAAGCACCAGGAAGGAAAGAAAAATGAAGCTCACGATGCCCTTGCTGAGACATTCAATGATTCTCAGAATCACATGCATTTCTTTCGCGAGAAGCAGAAGAAGCAGAGTTGGGTAGTTGAAATCTGGAACTGTGAGTTGAGATTGGACAAAACGTCGGCGCGAGAGGCGAAGCGTCGACGCCTCTCGAGGCCAGCGGGCGTAGCAGGCTGGCTATGCCCTTCAGCAGGGCCAGCCATGGAAAAGGTCGGAAGGTCCGCCAGCCATGGGAAGATTGTGACAGAACCGCCGCCTGCTGAGGGGTGATAAACCTGCCGGATCTTCAAATCCACTCAAAAGCCCAGCCAGAGTCACTTGGCCTAAGTTGATTGAAGAAAGAATAAGACTGGTATTAGTCCACACAACAAGGCACACTTTGGCAACTTTGGCAACCTGCGAATGCTGCGTAAAAGGCCAGGGTCCTACGACCATTCACAGGGTGGGTTCACAACCGTGCGAAATACCATGTGGGTCGCCCAGCATGGAGGGTCGTGAGAAATGCCATTTCTTCAGTGTGGTGATACGCCAAGTAGCCAACAAATGATCCTCCAAAGCCATTTGGATATATATATATACAATATGCTTAATGAAAAATGATTCCAGAATGTCCCTAAACATTTGTAGATTCTATACCATTAGGGCCCAAGATGGCGCGCATGCGCATTAGTGCCTGCGCACATTCCCATCCCAAAAACCATGGCATCTCTCTGCTCCTGGACCGCCGTCTCAGTCTGGGAATCCCTGGCGAGGACAAACCTCTCGCACCAACCTCTGGAAGGAGACCTCGAGGCTCGCGCCAACTTCCCAAAAACCACCGGCACGCCAGTCGAAGTGGTTTGGCCAGTTCGCAGTGGAACGGCCAGGTGTTCGTTTGAGTTGGGAAGGGGTCCATCCCACCCACGCTTGTGCTCTGGAAAGCTCGCTCCATCCGGATGTCCAAAGCTCCCACTGCTTCGGCCGGCAAGCCCAGCCCCCAAAACATGAATCACGTACAAAGCCACTTGGAAGGCACCCCAAGAAAGTCGTCGACTGAGGATGTCCCGCAAGTCTTCCGATCGCGGAAGATGCACTGATCTTTGGTCCGATCGCGTCGTCCTCGCTTTGGGGTCCGTGGTAGTGGCGATTCATCAAATGACATTCCAATGCTACATGTAAGTAAGTACAGTACTCTGCATAAACATTTATATATATATATATACATAAGAAAGAAAAGGTCAACTAGACACATACGCAGTCTGCACACTGTGTCAACACCATAGTTGCGCATGTGCCTTGGGGAAAAGGAGGTCGGTGTTGCTCTGGTAGTAAAAGACCTCCGCAGCCCGCGCTGGCCGCGCCCGCCGGCGGTGGGACATGGATCCGCTGGGTTGTCCCCTTGGAGGCGATGGAACCGATCCTGCAAGCTTTGGAAGAGCCTTCGGAAAAGAACTTCTCGTGTTCGCCAGAGCCTTCCCGGATCTCGTGGTCCGGATCTCGGTTCTGGAAGCCATGGAAGATGAGGATGGGCGTTTCAGTGGGCGACTCGGCCATGACCGATCCCCACCTCTGCGAGGCTGAGCCTCCGACCCTCCAGCTTCAACGCCCGGCGGCTTCACCCATCGTTTGAAAACCACATCCATCGCAGGAATCCAAAAACCTGGCACGTCTTTCTCGACCCACCTTTCTAGCCGCTTTTCGACCTCCTCCCACGGCCTACGCCTACGCCGCCCACGCCGGCTGACCCGCCCCGCGCCTCCTTCTCGGCAATGACGCCCGGCGCCGTCCGGGCACCTGACGGACGGCTGGCGCGCACGCGCGTTGTTTTTTCGGCATGAGATGCAGGGCAGAGCAAGCGAAGAGGTCGACACGTCCTCAAAGAACCCTGAGACATCCTTGGCTTTCAAGGCAATTTCAGATCTCTATCAGATCTCTATCAAGGGCTAATCTAATCCCCTACTTCACTGACTTCACTCAACGAGTAGTTGACTCATCCTACACCGAACAAAATATCACAACGCCACCCTCTAACGAAGCGTCATGCCGCGGCGGTCCTGTTTTGACACGCAAAATGCCCTTGGAATTTGATGGAATTTGTATCTTTATGTAATTCTGTGCTCTGTGGTCAAATTGAAGGCTTTCGATGCTCGAAAGCTTCCTATCAGTCAAACAACTGTTTTTGTGGCTGCGTCCCTCAGCGCTGCAAAAGAGCAATGATTCCATGGTTCTCAACGTGGCATCCAAGCCGAACATGTCGAAGGCGCCGCCTGTGGCTGAAGTGCCCTCAACCAGCTGCGATTCGGCCTCGCCAAAAGGCCCGCCGTCATGCCGACTGGAGCACCAAGACCCAAACGTCTGGAAGGGCTCCAATTTCACAGTGAGCAGAGCACATCTGCAACTTCTTACCTACACATGTTTTGGATCGTGTCCCAGTTCGTCCTTTCTGTTCTGCCGGATGCTTCGAAAAGACAGCGGCCTTCTGCTTTTTGGATTCTTTCTTGGCCTTCTTCTCCTTGCCATGGACAAGCAGTTTGTGGACATGAAATGTCTATTGGCCTTGAACTCATGTGGATGATGTGGTGAAGTAGCAAAGGTACTTTGTAGAGGTTGATCAAGCCTCTTTCTACATTCTACCCACCACAAACTTGGGAATATATCCTAGGTAACTCTGAAGTCAGTCGCACCCACAAGTCCCAAGTAATCGGTGGAATCCCCTGGTTAATTGGTATCTGAAAGATCCTGAATGTTCCTGCAGATTGGAAGACCAAAATGTCTTTGCACTGGAATCCCTGAACCTCAGGTACCAATCCCCTCTGTATACGCTTTGATTATGGTCGCATCGCGATTCTCATGTGACCAGCCGCGGCAACAACTTCGCGTGTCCGTGATTTTTTTTTGCAGTGTGGAGGGATTTTTTTCGTTGAGGAAAAGTATATATAAACAACACGAGATCCGACCCATTCAGATGCTCAGGCAGCTAACCACATTGACCACCCTTCCTTCCCACCCCACGAGTGCACCAGTCGCGCCCGGTCAGCCGACTTCCCTGCCTTGCCCTTTCCTTGGCTGGCCTGCGGTCTCCACCGGCGGGTCGGTCGGCCGGTCTCCACCGGACGGTCGGTCCGGGCCAAACGCGTAGAACTCCCCCGGCCGGGCCGACCGGACTCGCACCTGCAGGGCCTCCAGCTTGGTGCGGGCCATGGGCACCCGCTGGACCGAGTGCGGACGGATCGGCCTGAAGGTGCCTGAAGTCCAGCTCGGGGTGTCGGTTCTTCGTTTGGGTTGTCCTTGCCTGCTGAGTTCTAGTTTTTCATCTGGTCTAAATGGAACCTCCTTCAAAGCTGTCAGATCTTGCTGCGAAAACGGCCACATGTCGGGTTCCCCAAGAGGAAGGGGTTGGCGCAAGCATGGACTGTTGCCCGCCCGAATGCAGCCCACTGTTGCCGCAAGTCTGCCGTGCTTACAATGAGAAGAACACTCAGACTCGAAGAGATCCAAACCGACCGGAAGCCGGTCACCCAGTCGACTCTTTTGTGCTCATCGCCGCTTCTTTGCAGTTCGGTTTGGCCTTGGCAGCTGGGAACTTCGGTACAGATACACCTCCAAACTTCCTCGCCCCAAGCAAGTGGATCAAAAACTTCGAGATCGAAACCTGATTGCCTACTTACAGTAGCTAGATCGTTGTTTTGGATGAGAAGACCAAACACTGTGGTCTTCTTTGCACTCCGAAAATACACAGGATCCTCTTCACAAAGGACATGGTTCACTTCACCCCCAGCGCTTTCCCACGTTGGACCGCTCGGGAACCACTTCCCAATCGTAGTCAGGCTGCGTTGGCATCTTGGCATCCGGTTTTCGGACGTCCGCCTGCGCTCCGGGGCGAAGCTTTTGAAAAACCACCGAGCATTTCGTGAAGCATGAGTCAACTGAGGCAACTGAGTGGAAATCATGTTGAAACAGTGTAGACCCCTGGTAGACTGGTATCAAGCGGTTTCTGGGTGTCATTTCCCTCCAGAAACTCTTGGAACAGGAAAGGCCACCAACAATCGCACGAGCCAATTGGTTGGTGGTCTGTTTTTTGTTGTTTTCCTCTTGCACGAGAGCTTTACCATCTTGAACAAGGCGCAAAGGGTGCGCGTCAAAACGGGAGTCTCAATCCAAGTTTGCCCATAGTATGGTCATCTGCTAGTGCTAAAAAGATGATCATAAACTCAATGTTGCAGCGAGCTACCTTACATAAAATTGGTATGTTCTCCCTCTGCACATGGATTGCACCTGCTTCTGTTCAGCTGCTTGCTTCAATGAAGCAGCTTCCTCAACTCGAGCAAGTCACCAAAAACTGTGGGCGATCACTCAGCAAATGGAAGCACAAACCGATGATAGTTGACGGAAAGTACAGTTTTGACCCAGACCTATCTCAGCCTGTCGCATGGGATGCGTGTTTTGTCTTTTCAAGATTTCGCTGTTTTGCACGGCTTGTGCTTTCGGCTGGACAGAATTGCCTAGGAAAATGGGCAAGAGAATCCAACTGCTGTATACTGCTGTAGTTCTTTCTCATAATGGGTATGGGAATATGCAAGTATGCAACTCCTGAGCGGGTCAAATACAAATGTTTAACAAATGGCTTGCCTGGGGATTTCAGATCACCAAACAAATTGTAGACAAACCCTGCCTCCACTTCAGAGTCTATCTTTCGAATATACCGTAATACCACTGAAGGGGTTCTAATCGCAATATGGTGGAGCATGATTTTGTCCAATAATAGCGCCAAATCTCCAAATGCTCTGGATGGTCATCTCCAAACAGCAAAGCCAAGAGCTCCGCAGCCTCCCTGTACCTCCAGTTTTTCAGCTGGCAAGCAGCTGAGTGGGGGTGAAGCTATAATACCCTGTCTCTGTCTCTCTTTTCGCACAAAAAGAAAGGTGAGTGGCCCATGGTCCAGAAGCCACCTTGTTCTTCCATTCTCAGTTCACGAAGCTTCCACCGCCCCAGCGCACGAAGCTTCCGCTGCCGGGAACCGGCCCTCGGAAAAGAGCGCCTGGGATCGGCAAACAACCGCAGCAGATCATCCGTGAAGAATCATTGTTTTGAGGACCAACGAGCTCCTGCTGGTATGACAAGGGTAGCTGTTGGGTTGTCAGAACTCTCGGGAGGACTGTCCGTGACTCGCGGTGCTTCCTTGGCCACGGCCGACGGGCTCACCTCGGCCTTGGCTCGACGGGCTCAACCCCCCTGCCTTTCCCAAGGACACGTGAAGCCGTGCACGCAGCGTCATGCAGTAGTCCTCCTTGAGAGCCACGGAGTGTTTCCCTCCACTTCACTATTGTAGATATCCGCTTCAGAAGGCCACCCCCCAGCAAGTTCCATCAGGCCATTGGGCATCTTCTACATTATGGCGGAGCCACAACTTGCCAAACTATGTCATAACGACAGCTGTTTCCTACATATCGAAGAATCCAGCCTCCAGCCAGTGGATAACCTCTTGAGCCGAGCCCAAGAACTCAGCCGGCCAACTCTCCAACTGTTGAAAAAAATGCAAGACAGAAAGAAAGAACGAAAGAACGAGGCAACGGATACCGGAGTCTTCAGCTGGAGCACCGCTGGAGCACCGCTTCTTGCACCCCCTTTTTTCATCGCGGGTCGTCGGACAAGTCACCCCGGTCCACCCGATTCACGTCATGGTGGTCGCTTTGCGAAGCGGAGATGTTGCACTCCTGGTTTCGGGGGCCGGACCCGGTTCCGGGCGACAAATCATGGCAAAAAGGGAGGCAAAAGGAGTGTATCTCTTGGAAAGAGCAGAATCTCACGGTGTGATTCTTATTCTTTCCGGTCTGTAAAACCTCACTGCTTGGGCAATCTACGAACTCCTTGTGCACTGCGAACTCCGCGAAACGCCACTCAGTTGGTGCAAACCCCCAGCCATCCAACAGCCAACCATCTCGCGGATCTTCGATGGGTCGAGTCATCGGTCGAGACATCGCAGCACGTGGCAGCTCGTCCTGGGAACCGCCGCTTGCGGCGGCCTGCGCAGCTCGAAGGTATTCTTCAGAAAGCCCACCGTTTGCAAAATGTCAGTAAGCACCCCTGGCACCGGTGCTCATTTGGACCCGGGATCATCTGGGCGCAAGCGTCTTGGGGGGGAAAGGTGGTTGGGCTGGTGCACCATTCATGTCCGTATGAGAGAGGCGATTTGATCCGTACAATACTGGCTTCATTAGCTATACACCTCCGAATCTAGCAACCCGCCATCGAAGGCAATAATGCTCGATGCTTGTGTAGCAAAGCTTTCCTGTCAGATTGAGACTTGCTTGCGATCAGAATTTGCTAGGTGGTCGAATCAGGGAAACAGCCAATTCAGGCCAGTTCCATGTGCCCATTAACCCGAGCCTGGCTCCGATAAACTTCCGATAAACAAAGAACATCCGATCGCCTCCCAACTCCTCAATAGCTGCGCCCACACGTTTCAGCCCAGCATAAATCCTGTCGCGAGGTGGGCGGAGACGTGTCAGGTCGTCACAAATACACACTGAAAACTCACCTGGATGTGTCAGGTCGCCTCCGAACCAACGCCCCTGACTCCATGTAGACCCCCGAATGGATGGAGTGCTGGTGATTGGAAGAGGTTCACTTCCAGAAAGGGCATATGTGAACGCTTGTGCAGTGTATTCTACTTCGAAAAGAGCATGGGAGTGGAGCCCCACAATGAATAAGTTCTTCCGCTTGGCTCTCTTGCACTTCTATGATTCTATGCTGGACAAAGTCTGAGACTAAGACTTGGAGGGCATCCAGAGAACACCGCTGGTACGGTTAGCTTGTCCCACCATGTCGAAACAGACCCATAGGAACTTCCCACAGGCTCCACGTCCGACACCAGTTCACTTGTTTCGTGATGCATGAGAGTTTAAGTTCTGGAGCCTTCGAGTGTCCTCTACATTATTGATGAAACAACTGATGAACAGCCTTGGACCGGCTCCTGATACCATGTCAATGCAAAGCTCCGTTCAAGGTCTCTTCAAATCACAGGGTTCTCCACTGCTGATGATTCCAACCACGTAGCGAAGACTGTTTTGGCCCATGAAACGTGTCTCCTTCTCAATATGGCGATGGGATTGAGCCAACTTGCCCATATCCAGACCACCCAAACCAGATCAAACACGACGTAGTGACTATGTGACTATGTCCCATGTCATAGCTTCCCTCTAGATTTCATTCTTCCCCTTCCTCATGTTGAAGACGTCACATCAACCTTCGACTTCACCCTCTTCGCCTCTTCGCCTCCTCGACGACTCACCGCGCCGAACACGTGAACGTGAACGACACGGCGGGACCTTCGACCCTTCGGCGCCTTTCGGTATCCACACGCTGTGCGGAGCCCTGCAGCTTGAAGCACGTGGACCTGGACCCCCACGGGGGTCCGGCTTCGTCCGCAGCACGGCCGCGGGTTCACCCGTGGGGGAACGGGGTCCGGGGATCGCCGGGACGGTGAGGGACTGTGACGGGGGCGAAGTGAGGGACTGTGTTGGGCCAGGGTCCGATGGATCTGACAGTTCGTGCTGCTCACATCGAGAAAGAGTCAGTAATGTCGAAGAATCAAGATTCATCACCTCCCCCAATTGAATTGACAAACCTCGTCATAAGGGGGGGGTTATTGATCAAGAGTCTACATTTAAACCGCCTTGCACCAACTGGATGGCCTGAACCCGGCCATCACAGCAAAAAATCTCGCATCGTTTAAGCAAGAATGCGGACTCTTCAAGCAGCTACTGGGATGCAGTGAGCCGCTACTTGTCCGGTGAAGCCGAGGCAACTGCCGTGGCGTTGCTTGCAGCCGAACAGACGACGCCGGAGTGGAGCGGGCATCGCTGTGTTGGAGCCGAGGGGCATCTCTGGTGCAGTTAGGCTACGAGGTCCGCAGGTGCATAGCTAGTAGTAACAAGTGCATCGCTACGTTCGTAGTTTCTTGTTACTAGTAGCAATGCCCTCGTTGCGAACGTAGCGATGCGCCTTGTTACTAGCAACAAAAGGTCGAAAGAGCTGTTCGCAGGTGATGGCCTGCCTTCGGTCAGGTGCCTGCCCTTCGGTCAGCTGTTCGCCCCAAAATTGGTTGTTTTTGGCTCAAACCAAGGCAAATGTGGATGGTGCATGTCAGATCATGTTAGGCAGAAACAAACCCCATGTCACCCACCAATCCCTGGATCAGTTACATAAGCTTCATCTTGAACCAATTGAAAACCCTCCTAACTTTTGATTGGAGTCCATCAGTACATTAAAAACAAAAAAGAAACTCTTTCTGGGTTGAGCACGAGCCCGCGCTCACGACCTCCATTCCAAAGAGAAAAACCCAGCGAGTCCGCGCGTCACCACTTGGGCTTCGGGACACAAACTCTTCAGCATTGATCTCACCGTTGTTGTCCTCGTCCATGATCTCAAACAACTTCCAGGCCTTCCGTTGTTGAAACAATCACATCCACCCCAAGTCGGTCCCGACACGGCGACATCCAAGCTCGGGCGAAGCATAAGATATACGTTGGAGGAAAAAGAACGTCCAAGTGGGGCGTCTTCATCGTCCTTCCAGCTGGGCGAGTTCCTCTTGAAGCCCCCGACAATAAGAAGTGCTTCTCTTCGCTCAAAGAAAAAGGCGCATGAGAAGCGCTGAATCCTTGGAGGCCAGCGAAACCACCTCTAAGTATCTCCACCTCAGAAAACGGGCGTAACAGCTTCATGGTTATCAGTGGCAGAACATCTGCCATCCTAGTTCGTCCTTGCGCCAACAGCCTCCTCCAACGGGTGGGAAGCGGCGGCGCCGGCGCACCTTGGACTGGTTGATGCCGAGGGTGCTGAGCAACGCCTCCGCCGGACTTGGGCCAGGATTCTGCGGTGAAGGTTTCTGCGCACATCTGTCCACTTGATGATGGCAGTCATCTGGTCTCTGATTATGGTATTGGCGAACACCAAAATACTCCAACCATGCTGGCATATCAAACGTGCAACCATTTGGCAGCGTTGTAACATGTTGTAACTGGCAAGTGCTATGCGGCTCACTTGACGATTGTGCAACACCAACCATGCCCCTCACAATGTCAGTTCCCCTCATATCCTACAGGTGATTTCTCCAAGTGAACGCGCGCAAAACACACCAAGAAACGCTGCCATCCGCCGGGCCTGCAATCCTGGATCTTCCCACATCTCCTCAAACTCCAAGATGCCAATGGTGCCGGTACCATCCGTATCAATCTGCGTGAACCTCGAAGGATCTTCGATCAATGACCACGGAGGATGGATGGAGAGTTTCGTTCCCTTTTTTTTGTCGGTTGCGAACACGGGGTCATCCCCAATGAAAAACACATCCGCCATTGAATGCGGAGAAGAAACAAGCTCTTCAGCCTTTCGCTATAGTCCTTACATCGCAAGCGGGTACATCGGGGATGTGCCAGCTCTGATATACTTGGGACACACCACTACTAGTAACAAGGGCATCGCTACTAGTAACGAAGGGATTACTACTAGTAGCTAGAAGCTACTAGAAACAAGGGTATCGCTACTAGTAACAACTAGATCAGTTTGCATTCCACAAAAGTCAAAGTTTGGCAGTGCAGTCGCTACAAAAAAAACGCCAACCCCTAGCGCCGACCTTGCTCTTTCGCACATGTTCATCGATCTGAGCTTCTGCATCCTGTCAACCGCACCACATCAAGAAAATAAACAAGTACGCATAAGTACGCCATTCAAAAACACTTTGCCTGGGTCTAAAGAGCACTTTCGCTGGTGAGCAGTCCTGGCTTGCACTTTCGATCGCACTGCTGCAGAAAACGCCTGCACTGCTGGATGTGTTGTCCGTGTGTATGTGTGGTAACTTTGAAGACATGCGACAACCCCCTTTTCGAATCCCGCACGGTGGCCGAGGCCCCATGAAACCCAGCACACGGCCAAGACCGTGTCGGAGAGCGACGAACGAAGCCGGCCACGGAGGAGCTGCAAGCAGGTTGCAGGCCAACGCACAAGGAACAAACGGATCACGGATTACCCCAAGCCGTCTCAGAAAACAACAAAGCTCCGACAGAAAGTAGCTGGCCAAAAAGTAGCTCAGCGCAGGGCGCTGCCAGCCCGGCCACGGTGAGCAGCAACATCAAGAGCTTTCCAATGCAAGATTGAGGAGAAATATCACATATACATATACATATATATATATATACATATATACATACATATATACATATTATGTATATATAAATATATCAAAAACCAAAAAAAGAATATACCTGCGATAGAAGTTAAGCCGACTGACTG